TGCCAGCTGCCTAGACCACACCCCTAGCCAGTTCGCACATCCTACTTTGGGGCCTGTGTTGGCTTTGTAATCCAGTGGCAGAAGGGGGATTGCTGTGCCTTAATATGCCCACAGTCTTTTTGCTCCACCCTGGTATATTTTCCAGTCTCAAGAGCCTTGCTTTATGATGGGAGTAGCTAAGACTCCTTATTAAACACACACACACACACACTTCACAGCATTGTATATGCATCACGCATTTTAATTATAATGCTGGACATTTTACTAAAATCACCTTCCTGTTTATCCCATGAATACTGACGTCTGAGTGTACTTCAGAACACTTTTGCTTTGAGGATGAATCAAGCCGTCAGTTACACATGTGGCACATCAACCTCATGGAAAAGCATAACTGTGAGCAGAAATTAACTTTAAGTGTCTGATGACTCTGGAATGAATAATGCGAGCTCAGGGGTCTCCTTTGTTCCCAGGATAGTCTCGACAATGAATAACAGGGAAGCCAAAAAGCCATCATATTCCATGGACAATTGAGTCTCTCAACTGAAATCAAAGAATTTTAATACTGATAATAATGGGATGCTTAAGGAAACATGGATCTATTCTCTTAAGTAATTTATCTCCATTTTATATTGTATCTTCCTCTTAATACCTTTTAATTAGGAAGTGAGCAATTATTTGAAATAGGGCTTTTTAGTTACTGTTGACATCAGAAACCACAAATCTAAACTTTGAAAAGGGTCATGCATAGCAGAATGTTTGAAGCAGCCATCCCTATGCATTAATACACAGATCTAACCTCGGTATTAATTAGAATTGAATGCTTCCTGCAACACTACCTAAAGAGTCCTGTAACAGTGGTAGGTAGCCCCTAACCCTCCCACTATTAAGGGTCTAGCCACCCCGTTACATATTTCTTTCCTACTCCCCTTAAGAACACTGCCCCTCTCTGCTGGGAAGTTCTACCCACGGGAAACATTTTATATTTTCACCTATTTAGCCTTTGGCTTCAGGATGGCAGGGACTGTCTGGGCAGTCACCCATTTTTCTTCTGGTTTGCTAAAAGGTAATTTCATTCTTCTAGGGTTGCCCTGATCTCCTCAGCCAGCTCACCCCTTTCCTTCAAAGCCAGCTGCCTGGCCTCCTTCAACACAGCCATTTTCTCGTGGCATTTCTCCGCCAGAAAGGTCAGCCTTTCACTCTTCTCTCCTATCAGCCAGTCACACCTTTTGGCAGTGGTACAAGGGCCTGCCATATTTGCAGCATCCACCCTTACTGCAGCCACCAGGTGTGTCCTGGTCACACATACTCCCGGCTGATGTTTTCTGCTGCTTGCCTTCTTCGGCCGAAGCCTGAAAATACTCTGCTTTACTCAGGAACTTTCAGCTCATTAGCCTCCTCCTGCAGTCTGTGCTCCAGTTCTTTTACTCGGCACCAGAGCCAACTCTCCCACTTTAGTTAGAGGCACCGTTCGTCCCTCTGGAGCTGGCACGTGGGCCAGCAGACTGTAGCATTCACCTGGTCTACGGGGTACTGATGATACACAATGCTTTTCCACCGCAGGCCTCTGGGTTGGGAATCTGCTGCACCCTCTCCTCCTTGATCCTTCTGGCCACACATTTTCTGCCTCATTCTGCAGGGCTTTCCTCCACTGCTTCTTCCCAGGGCAGAACTAATGTGTCCTGATTTAAATGTGGAAAGGCTTTCATGTTGTCTTTGTGCTGCCCAAACCATCCTTCTTCTGATTCTGACCTGACTGCTCCTGGAATCAGGGTGCCATTCTGGGCATTCAAACTGCCTGTCATTGTTTCCTACACTAGAAACAGGAGCCCAGGGCATACCTCTCCGGCTGGCCCACGGCTGCTGGGTTTGCTGGATTGCCCACGGCACACTATCTTGTCTGCTGATCCTGAAGAAGTTTTGAGAGGACAGCTTGGATGTGTTGTTGCACCAGATGCTGCAGTCATTCTTCCACCTGGCTCGCAACTCATTATTGTTGCTTTCCTCCGTGACACAACTCCACTCAGTCAGAAAGCAAATTAAAATATTCCCTGCCTGGGGGCTAATTTAGTCACTCCTGAAGCACACACTGGGCCTCCTGGCCCCAACTCCCGTTCAGTGTCTCTTGCCCTTTAATTAGGGAGTTCCCTGCCTTCTTTCCCAGAGCAGGAGCACAGTTCATTTTATCCATAAAAGCCAGTCTTGCTCCCTCCAGCTGGTTCTTCAAGCCAGCTTTCTCTTCTCAGGCTTGTGTTTTCTGAGCAATCTCCTATTCACGGCAGCCGCCTGCTGCTCTTTGTAGGGAATCAGCAGCTCACTCAGATCGACTCTCTTTAATAATCGGGATTGGTTGACCCCAGGCCCTCCTGCCATTGAAGGAGTGACCTACACTGTTAAAATGCCTCATTGTTACTTACAATAGGGGAGATAGACCCATTGGGCTCTGTTCTCAGTTAGTCTAGAATGAAGAAAAGATTTTTGTATTTTCTTTCTGAAGGTGGAAGAACAAGTAGCAGAATTTGGTGATTCCCTCTTCTTTGTGTTACATGGAAAAGGCAGGGCTTACAGTACAAAAATCATGGGTGAAGATGACTAAAAATTAGAGGCTGGTTTAATTAAGAAAAGCTGTAGCAGTAAAGAGCTAAAATAAAGGTTGTGGCTCTGAACAAAATCATAGACATACCTCTCTTGTTGAGGACACACTAAATTATTATCAAACCATGCCAGGGTCTCCCACAACCCATACTGCTGCTGTTCCACCTGAACTGTATATGTTCATATCATAGCATCCGGACACACAGTCTCCTACCACATCTGCATAAAACTTAATTGTGGGTCACACCACTGTTGTCACCAATGACTATTTGACACTGGCCCCTCTGCAATCACAGCTCAGGAGATGGAACTGCTTTGCTATGGCCACTCTAGCTTGCACCACAAACAGCAGCAAGGAGGCTGCTATAACCCTACAGCCTGCCCTAGGTATTTCAGGGTTTGTTTTGACCAGCGGAGCAGCCAGAGAGATGTAAAGGTGGCGCAAAACCCTCTCTGTCTTCTCTCAGTTGCCTCTTGGGCTATGTCTAGACTGCAGGCTTCTTTCGAAAGAGGCTCTTTCGAAAGCATCTTTCGAAAGAGCCTCTTTCGAAAGATCGCGTCTAGACTGCAGGCGGATCTTTCGAAAGAAAAATCCGCTTTTTCGAAAGAGAGCACCCAGCGAGTCTGGATGCTCTCTTTCGAAGACGGCCTCTTTACATTGAAGAACGCCTTCTTTCAAAAGAGGAACTTTCGAAAGAAGGCGTTCTTCCTCGTGAAATGAGGTTTACCGCCATCGAAAGAAAAGCCGCGTTCTTTCGAAATAATTTCGAAAGAACGCGGCTTGAGTCTGGACGCAGGGGAAGTTTTTTCGGGAAAAGGCTACTTTTCCCGAAAAAACCCCTGAGTCTGGACATGGCCTTGGAGACATAGCACAGAATTTGACCCAGTATGGCAGGGTGCAGCTCTAGAACTCAGAAAATGAGAATGAGAGATTGGAGAAAAATACATTTGCTTTCCTTGCGCATCTCTCCTATTTATAAATGAAAGATCCATACTGGGAGAGCCTCCTCAACAGGGCAGGCCATGTGGGAGCATAGCTTGGAGGATGCACCAAACAAGGGAAGCCTGGAAGCAGTAACAAGAGATAGGGGACATGTACACTCACAAATTAAAGGGGAGAATTAACAAGGCTTAATGCTCCACCTAAAACCTGGGCTTAGAGCTGCCACAAGGAAGTTTCAATATAGAGCTTCCTTGCTTTTGTGATCCTATGTAGACTATCAACACAACACAGTTTCTCACATGGCTACTGTGACTATTACTATGCATGTTATAAAAGTAGTTCATGTATATTCTACAGTCACCCATTGCAATATGCAAATGCTTTGGCCTGTTATACAAACTGAGGGAGCAAAACAAGTTTTATGAGACTGGGTATGTATCAAATTTCATTTCTCAATTTTATGCAATTTTTGGTATGATCAGAACCTGCAAAACACCCAACAATATTAACAACAGTCTTCATCATACTGCAGTTATCACACACTTCAGCTTATCTGTATCCAACTATTCATTTTTAGAATTCATAGCTTTTTATAAATTAACACAAATAAATTTCTAGCAAATCTGCTTTTTTGCTGACAAGCATATCATCTTCATAGAATCATATAATCCTAGGGCTGGAAGAGACCTCAGAAGGTCATCGAGTCCAGCCCCCTGTCCAAAGCAGGACCAATCCCAACTAAATCATCTTCCTACCTGATATGGTTAACCATATGAAAATTGAGGAGTATACAGTTGACATGGATTGTGATGACTATCATAATTTACTGCCATTACTGCATAATATGTAAGGAACTGTACTACTTTTGTGCAGTTGATAGTAAGGCGTGTCATGCTGTCATTACTCAGCTTCATGAGCTCATTTAGTTAATGTGATTCCTATGTAAAAAAACACATTTAAGTAATGTTTTGATGGAGCCAAAACTCAGCAAAGCCATGCAATATTTAGGCTCTGGTCCAGTGAAGCTTGTATCTCATACATGTAAGCGTTTTCTTGAGCAGAGATTGGATTACTCATACTTTATAGCTAAGCAATGCTTTAGTATTGTTCAACCAGAGCCTTAAAGCAAACACATACCACATGTTTAACACTACCTAAACACAAAGATCCAAACTCTGCCCCCATTATTCCCTTGAACAGGGGAGAGGCTTCAGGTCTGTGTCTCCTGCAGCCCCCCTCAGGGCCATACTCTGGCTTTGCACAGAGGTCCCTGATTTGTCTCGAAAGGGCCATACAGCGCCAAGTCACGTCTAGTTCTGAATATCTGGCTGTGTTGTCCCTTATCTTTACATTTCTTCAGCATCATGAACATCTACAGTGCTCAAAAACAATTCTGTAGAGTGTTTAACATACCCATGAACATCTTCTGAAAATGGAAGTATTAGCACAGATTGGGTTGACTTACCAATTCTAAACACTGTTTATGACCATAAGCAGCAGCATAGTGCACTGTGTTGTACCCTTCTTTGTCTTGAATTGATGGATTGGCATCATTTTGAAGCAGAAACTCTAGGCACCTGTAAATAATACAAAAATAAAATTACAGATCATACTATTTGACAGCATCATCTCCATAGCAACGATGAGCAATATTAAGCCTCTTTTCTAAAATTCTGGCTATTAAATGTTACATTCCTTACAAAATCATGTACCACATAAGAGTTTCCTGTCTTTTAGCAAATATCACCCCACTCACTCCCTTCCCAATATTCACCAAACGTCTGTGCAGCAACATCTGCTAGTCTTAGAGTAGCTTGTTTGATACTCTGACACTCTCTATCCCAAAGCAATATTGTGACACCCCCATACTTAGCATTAAGTATCTCATGTAAGGTATGAATGGAGAAGTTATGTTTTGCTGAATATGATCACTCTTTTTGTACACATTTATCATTTTTGAATCTGAAGTTATAAATATGGAATATGTACCAATGTTTCAAATGTGTGTGCTCCTAGTAACACCCTGGTAACACAAAGTAGATGAAATCCAGTTTAGCTAGGACATTGTGGATGAACCATTCCAAGTGATGGGCAATTAAGAAACACAGTCAGCCATAGAAGAATCTTATCTCCACTTGATGCGTTTCTGCCAATATTAGGTTAATGGCTGCTATGACACAAAGCATGCAAGGGCATGTGACTAGATCATGTGATACCGGACTTCATCTTGTGCCTATACTTTTCCACAAATGGTGTTGGAGACTGCTTGGAACAATGAAGTCCCTCCACATCGAGGAAGCTATACAAGGGGAAAGTGACCTCACTCATCCTCTCTCCCCACCATCTCAACATCTGGAAATACCTTAGGAAAAAAAGACTGAACTGGTGGGAAAGGAGGAATCCCAGCCTGTATATGGAAGATTGGTGAACTGTTTGCATTATCAGGGTGAGACACTCCTTGATTTAAATACTGTCTAGCTTATAGGTCTTAGATTGTGATTTTGTTTTAGGCAATTACTTATAATCACTAAAATATTTCTGTAGCTAATAAATCTGCTTTATATTTTACCTAAAACCATGTGGTTTGAGTGACGTGCATGAAAACAACCTTAGCTCAGTTAACAAAAACGCACGTATGTTTTCTCCACACAGAGAGGAGCAGACTTATACTAGATAAACATTTGACTGGAGCAGGATTTTACAGTTCTGGGGTCTAGGGAGCTGGGGGAAACAGGATGGAGCCTCACTATAGCTCATGAGTGGCTAGCAAAAGCAGTCACATAACTCAGTTATGTGTGTCCCTGCCTATAAATGTTTGTCTGAATGCAGGACTAGGAGAAGTCTGCAGCTTTTCACAGCACCACAGTGAAAGGAAGAACTCAGGCTTGTGAGACAGAGGGCTCCATGGTACCCCAGTTCCTGGTTGCACCCCAAGAATACCCATCACAGATACTAACAGGTCTGAAGCTCAATTCATCCCGTACTGCCGCTCTAGTTTTTTTTAAGATATATTTCTACAAGCCCAAGAAGAAAATTATGTTTCACTGTGTCATGGGGTTCATTTCTTACTTAGAAATAAGAAGAATGACAATGTCATTACTGATACAGCTCAAAATTCATGGGTCAAAATTACAGGTATCTTAATGAATCCATCAGCTGGATGACTCTAAACTCAATGACAAATGAGATATTATCCCAAATACAACTTTTTTTAAATTCTTTTGATGGTGATGATAATTTCTTTCTCTGAATCAAATATTTGGGGTATTCTGTGTTAGGGATGTAATAGTGTAGTCGATTAATCGATAAGCAAAAGCTTATAGGTTAATTCTATAGACTACATGGATTCCTCTCCCCCCTCCCCTTGCCACTAAATATTTTAGTAGGCTGGCCAGCAGCCCAGCTCAGTCCTATCTTGCAACGGGTCTGGGACCTACACCTGCTACGGCTCTGCATTTAAAGTGTATTAGGAGCCAGGTGGGCAGGCAGCCCAGCTCAGTTCTGGCTCATGCTGGGTCCGGGAGCTCAAACCCACCTCCTAGACAGGGGCTGCTGCCACCCCACACTGCTGCCTCTTTATCAGAGACAGCAGCATAGGGGGGCAAGCAGCTGGTCCACAAGAGGAGCTGCTTTTTAAACTAGCTCCCACCTGGCACCCCACGCTGCTGCCAGCCCCGCCCCGGGGATTATAGAACAGTCAACTAACTGATAAGAATTCATGAGGTTACTCAACTATTCAATTAGCCGATATTTAACAACCCTACTCCATGTGTCATCTCTCAGAGTTTAATTTTTACCCCTCTGGAAAAAGATTTCAAAATGATTTCTTTGGCAAAACTTGTTGTCAAACTAATGTAGAACTATTAGCAACAGAAGTGACATTTTAAGCAAAAATATGGCATAAAATATCAGATCTGAACACAGTAATTCTTATGGAGGACATCGCGTTACATTTTTTCTGCAACATACTAACCCAGTGTATCACATTTACATAAAAGAGTAGGTGATAAAGAATTATGAGAGTACTAATGCAGTATACATTTTGTTGGGAAGAGCAACAAGCACGGAAATAGAATTAGAAAATTCATTAATACATTAAAGAGGATTTTAGTTTGGTTAGCTTCCTCTAGTATCAAGCTTCATTTGTAGCAGAGCAAAGCTTGAACAAGACAGGAGTGTAAACTGCAGTTTAAAGAAGCAGAGAAATTACCTACAAATGGAGTCTAACTATTGTACTGACACCAAACTTACAATGCAGCTTCTTTTTCCTTCATCTCATTGGCTCTTTCAAGTTCTTCAGCATTTTCATGGGAGTTACCTAAAATATTCTTTCTTCTTAACATAAGGGACAGAAAAATGCAATTCGTTTTCAAAACGTCAGAGCACTGATTTTGGTGCATATTACTACCCCCAATCAAGTGACAACCTGTAGGCATTAAAGTTAAATAAAGAGCCTACCTAGCAATATAAGCTAACCATGTTCCTGGACAAAGAATGCACTTAACATGTACCAGCTCTTCATTGTGTACATCAACATCAAAATTAAGCAGAAAGTTTTTATTTCTATCACACCAGTTATTTCATCACATTCTGGAACCTTGCCCTCAAAGACTCTTCTTTGAAAACCTATGTTCTTTGGCAACTTTGCATCAAGGTAATTAGTCTGGCATGGATGGCCAATAGTAGGTTAAATTTTGTAGAGAGCCACTACCTAGCCCTCAGAACTTCAAAATAAAATCGGAAGGGTGGGGGGAGGGAGAAAAGAAAAAGAAAAAACAGCTTCTGAAGTGCTGCCAAGAAAAAAAAGTTTCTGAATCTTCACAAACATTTGATTCAAACACAGTTTGGTCACAAGGATTTTTTGCCAAACCAATTTGCGCATAATTGATGTTAGCCTCTATCTAACACACATATTTCAGACTGGATTATGGAATGGTACAACTCTTCAAAACATTCAATGCTCCATCCTCCACATCCAGATTTTACAATCTTTATCCTGGTTAATAGCAACGATGATCCCAGTTCTGTCTGATAGATATTTAAGATATGCAAAATATGCACCATTGATTCACACAGGATGTTACCTGAATATTACGTATGTGTCATGCCTGAGAAGTAAATGAACCATTCAATGCTGTAAAAGTGTTAAGAGAATGCACATGCATTGACCATGGACCCAAAGATTCCCGGTCACAGTTAAAGGCTGTATCTATTAAAGACATGCAGATAATCTCAATTAAATCTATGCATAACTAGTCAGAGACTCAGAGCTCTGTGCACAGAGCTGACTGACCGGGTGGTGCTGATTAATCACCCATGAAGTTGGGCTGCTATGCCACATAGAAGGAACATTGATTAGAGTTCACTTCTTGCTGCAACCCAGACAGTCTGAGACGTGAAACACTGGGAAACACTATTGCTAGTGTCAGAACAGAGATATAGTGCCAGACACATCCCACAACACGTCTCACCTTTCAATTTCTTGGGAAAGGTTCATAGCAAAGGAAATATTTATTCCCTTAGTAGCTATACAGGTCATAATTTACTATCTTGTTGGATAATCACATTGCAAGAGCCACCCACAAATAAGATATCTTTGATAGCAGCCTTTAACTACCTGAAGGGAGGTTCCAAAGAGGATGGAAAGAGGCTGTTCTTAGTAGTGACAGATGGCAGAACAAGGAACAATGGTCTCAGGTTACAGTGGGGGATGTCTAGGTTGGATATTAGGAAAAACTATTTCCCTAGGATGGTAGTGAAGCACTGGAATGGGTTCCCTAGGGAGGTGGTGGAATCTCCATCCCTAGAGGCTTTTGAGTTTCAACTTGACAAAGCCCTGGCTTGGATGATTTAGTTGGGATTGGTCCTGCTTTGGGCAGTGGGTTGGACTCGATGACCTTCTGAGATCTCGTCCAACCCTACTGTTCTATGATTCTGTCTTTCAAAGCTGCAGTAGTTTATTTGATTCTGGAGAAAATAGCTGAAAATACTGCCTCAGCTGAAAATACTGCCACTCTCCACTATCTGGAAGCCACAGAAACAGCCAGGAGTGAAATGAGGGAAACGCAATCTTACCAATACTGAGGACTGGAGTTAAATAATCAGTCTTTTTTGACACTGATATAATTGGCTTGATGTATCCTAAGCTTCAGAACTTCAAATTCAGGAGGGGCCCAGATTCCGAAAAGTTGGTTTTGAACCAAGAGTTTCAGGAAAAGGAGTAGCAGCTCCTGATGGAAAGACAGACCTAGGAACTTCCACGGCCTTCTCTCTACTGTCAGGTACTAGGGTCAAACATATAGGAAGTTCAGTCCTTTGAAGGCCCTCCAACCTCATGACTCAGACATATGGATCTGACAGGGACGTTCAGGTACCTCGTATCAGTTTTACTGCAGTGAATGGTTCTGTAGTTTCCAATCGAATGTAACACAACCTTCTATAATGGGTCCATGAAGATGCCATTTCAGGAGAAAAATGAAGCTTTTAGAAGGTGTTATACTGGAAAAAAAATGGTACATCAATTTTGTACCAGATTTAAATGTATGAGAAACCAGGATCCTGTGGACCAGGAGAGAAGTGCAGAGGAACAGAGAGAGAGAGAGAGAGAGCCTACCAGAAAATGAATACAGCCAACTAATGGTTTTAAATGCCAAAGATGACCTAAGACTTTAGTCGAGGCTGCTTGATCCATACAGCATGTCAGAGGCCATAAAATTACGTAGTACTCTGTAAATTAGAAACTGCACAGACTCGCAAGACATTTGAGAGAAGGGGAGATCCTACTAATGAAGCTGTTGCCGAAAGTTTCTTGAGCACACTAGAATCAGACTTTGTTCCCTGTCCTCCAAGCAACGGACTTCCAGTTCCCACAAGCACAGTGTTCTTTTTGCCAGTGGCCTGTTCCCACTTTTCTGCCAGAACACAGACCTGCCCTCTCCTGTTGAGTCCCCCATTGTTTAGAAGCCTCCGGCCCACGCAGTGACTTTCATGAGGGGGCTACTGCTGGAATGAGGAATCCTGCAGGTGCTGCTACACTTCCTGGCTTGAATCGGATTCCATGATATGCAGGGTTTACAGTTTGGTTGAATGTCCCTCAGCACTTCCACGGTACAATATGTTCCAGCATACTTGGGCTTACTCCACCTCTGACAGAAAAGTGTGGGTGGGCTGGCAATGGCTACTCTTTGTTGTCATCCCCCATCTGGAAAGATCCCCCTCCCACTGCCTCAGGCTCTAGCCTTTTCAAAAGACCACCGCAGCAGTGCAGGCAGGGGAAGTTCCCTAACCTATCCCTTGTGGGAAAACCAACTATATAAGGAAAAAGGAAGGCAAAGTGGGAGGGGAAGTTATTCCTGAGGAGAAAGTGGCCAGCATTTAAGGGAGTTATGTTGCAATAAAAAGATAAATTGCACTATACACGACTCATCGTATAATCCAGGGTTGGGGAACCTCAGGCCAGGGGGCCGGATGCAGCCCCCAGCTTGTCTGGATCTGACACCGAGGTTTAGGTCCCCCCCAGCATTAGGGAGCCCAAACTGGCACTTTAGCCTCTGCAGAGCTGGATCACACAAAATCTACTAGGCTGGGCCTCCCTAGGCTCTGGTGTACCAGGGGAATGTGGGGACTTTCTCTTTCTCAGACAGGGGCCACATCAGTGAGGGTTTTTTTGTTTTTTTTTTAAACTTCTGACTTGTGTGTGGCCCCCGATTGATTTTTCTGTGGGTCAGTGGCCCTGAATCCAAAATAGGCTCCCCACCCCTGTTAAAATCAATAATGGGTGTGACGTGGACAGGGGTGGGCAGGGAGGCCTCCGCAGGCTGGATCTGGCCTGCCAAGCGGGTGGATCTGGCCCATAGATGCCCTGCCACTCCCCCGCCCCCAGGCCAATCAGGGCCTGCGGGCGGGAAGGGCACGTGAAGTCTCTCACTCCCTGTCTCCTCCCTGCAAGCTCCATGCCCCCCTTGCAGGGTGGGGGCAGGAAACAAGAGACTTTGCATACTCCTCCTGCCCCCCGGCCCTCACGAAGTCTCCTCCTGCCTTGGAAGGGGGCAAGTGCCTAGAGGGAAGCGCCAGCTGTTCAGAACAGCTGGCAGTTCTCCTGGGGGGGAGGGGGAATAGATTTCACATGCTCCCCACCTCCAGGCCAATCAGGGACTGTGGGAGTGGAAGCACGGAAATGTCCTGGCCCCTCCTCTTCCACCAGAGGGCCTGTCCCTTGCGGGGCAGCCCAGGGCCACTTCAAAAATTAGTGAAGTGGCCCCTTGTCTAAAATTATTGCCCACCTCTGGTCTAAGAGAAAGAGGAGGAGGAAAAATACCTTTGCTAGTGGTTTATTTTTGTTGGTTTAAATGATATTGTGGCGTAAAAAGAGCATAAATGTCTCTGAGTAGGAAACAACGTAAAAGCGAGGAATACAAATAGGCTTTTTTACTTTCTGTCCATGTCCGAAGCAGCGGCATAGTGCAACGCAGTACGTCCCCACTCATCTGTTTCATTAATATTTGCCCCAGTGGTCACCAATGTCTCAATACAGTGAAAATGACAATTCGCAGCTGCATAGTGCAAAGGTGTCCTGAAAAACAAATAGCAATTTATGACTTCAGACGCTATCTAAAATGTAACATGGGTTACTCTATAGTCCCGAATGCACCTTTCCCAGAGATGTCTGAGGTAAAAACAATGCAGCCCTCTCTTGCTCCCTCTCCCAAATCTCGGGGGGGTTGGCTTTATTTACAGCTTTTTGTCCAACCAAAATACACAAATTAGTCTCTGGCGACATTCACTTCTAGCGATTCTAGAGGACGTAGGGCAGTATTGGTGCCGGCCGCTGGGCACTCCAGGCCCTTTAGAATTGCCAGGCCCCAGGACAATTGCCCGCTTTCCCCCGCTCCCAATCAGAGGGCCTAGAGGATGGAAAATTGCTCAAGAGGAAGATGGGAGATTTATTTGATTATTTTAAGTAGGGTTGCCAGATGGTTTCAACAAAAATACCGGACACACTTGACATTCCATCACAATCTACATTACATCCTATTTAGAAAATACCGGACATTTATATTTTCTCAATTTTTTTCCCAAACAGAAAGCTCAAATATTGGACTGTCTGGTTCAAAACTGTACACCTGCAAACCCTAATTTTAAGCTGCCCTCAGAAGCTGTGTCGTGCATAAGAATGGCCCCCTTTCTCTAACACATAAAAAATGTAGGCTCTTCAGAAAATTCACTTGATTTTCAAAATGGCAGACCAATTCATTAATTCCCATTAACTAAACTGGGAGGTGATGAGAGCTCAGTGATTCTGAATATTTGTTTAAGTGGCTAGGCCTCAACCTTGCAAAAGTCTTAAGCACACGATTTAACTTTACACACCCTGAGTAGACACTGAAGGCATTTAAGTTCAGCACATATGTTCGTGTTTGCAGGAGCAGAGCTAGAAGACAGATAGGGTTGCCAGGTGTCCGGTATTGAACCGGACAGTCTGGTATTTTCGTCTTATGTCCAGTAAAAAAAATTCAGAAAATACCGGACACCTAAAATATCCAGTACTTTCTGACTTTTTCCCGGCCAGGAGGCTAAAATCCTGGGCTGTCCAGCTCAATACGGAGGCAGCCTGGCAACCCTAGTGCTTACCAGGTTCCACAGGGGAGCTGACCGGTCTGGCGCAGGGAGGCAAGATGGCGGACAGCCTCACCACATTGTTTTTTAAAGGGGACAAACGGTGGGGATTTTTTCTTAACAAGTCTCGGGATCCGCCCCCCTCTCTTTTTTTTTTTTTTGCTCAACAAACTTTTTCCTCATGTGTTGTTGTTGTTGTGTATTTTTTCTGAAATCATCTGGCAACGCTAATAGACAGACACCTGTTTTTTAGATCTGCGGCCTGGGTGAAAACTGTTTGGCCGAATTTGTAACATACATCAGGGGCGTGTCGGGGACTGAATCGGTACATCCATTTCTGCATTTATTTCAACATTATTTTACTTTGAGAAAGTCTAGAAAGAAGGCTGATAAGCAGTAGTTCTCCCTACAGTGATGTGCAGGTGCTATGTTGGGCACAAAGCGTGGAGAGCAATGAGGAAAGAAATTACTGATATTTTTAAATAAGAAAGACAGAAGTGCCTAGGCTTGGCTTTCATGTATTTAATGTAATCTGCATTTGTCTTTTTGGCATTTAACTTCAATCAGCAGTATCCTCTTGGGAAACGGTGATTCCTACCCCCTTTTACGGTTTACCTTTTTAAGTGAAACATATGATTTCCAGATTGAGGGCTTTTTTCCTCTCTTTCTTTCTTTGAAATACATCTGAAAAAGCTTCACAATGTACATACCTCCCACATCTGTCCTTTTTATTAAAATCTGCTCCACTGCTCTGCAAGAGTTTTACACATTCAACATTACTGAAAAGAAAAGGAAAGAAAACAAAGCATGAGCAAAACAAAAGTTCTCATCTTGACCGAGTACCCAAAAAAGTAGTGTTGTTTCATTCACTCTTAGCAGTGCAGAAATTGTGCAGAAATTGCAATTCAAGCCTGAACAAAAGAACGGAGAAAAAGAAAACTTGTAAAGATGACACCTTTATTTCTGGATAACTTTGGAATTCTATTCCAGACAAGTAAAGTAGAAAGTGTTTTAATATATATATCCTGGATTCAAGGGGGAGGCAGTCAAACATTTCCAAAGGGAGTTGTGCTGCTAATGCTTCACACATTGAGCTAAGAAATTTTCCAAGAACATTTTTGTAGTTTGAAGCAAGCTTACAAAATATGCTGGGCTAATAATGAGGAGATTTAGGTCCCAATTCAGGGCAGAACTTCAGGACATGCTTAATTTTTTACACATATGCTGAAATCCATTCTTTTCTGCAAAGCATTTAGCAAAAACTTAACTTTAATTATGTCCCATTTTCTTCAATGAGACTTAAGAACAACTTTAAAGTTGAAACCCATCCTTCAGAACTGTATTGCTTTTGAAGGGATTATTCATAGTTTGTATCCCTACTGAATGAATTCACTATGATACAACTCTGTATTGTTACTGTTTAAATTGAAGTGATTCTTAATAGTAAATAAAATAGGTGCATTTTAATATCTTTATAATTCAAGTAAATAAATGTACAATACCAAACCAGAAGATCATGTAATGAAGCACAATGATCTTCCAAGACTCCTTTGTCATTCAGAGGAGCAATAACTCATTTCTACTAGGAAATGGGAAAAGAGATTTTTGGAACATAGTTTCTTCTCAATGCCAATATAACTTCCATTAATGTTAATGGGAGTAACAGGCATGCACCAAGAGGAAAATGCATGTTTTATGTATAGTTCAAGTTCCAGTCTACAAGACATAGATGGAGCAAAGCTGATGTTAACCCACTATCTGTGTATAAAATATCTATAGAATGCTCCCCACAATGTACACAAGATAAGTGGTCTTGTTAGGGATAATTACAGTCAGCCATAAATAAAAACGGACTTATTTTCACAGGCAATTTTTGCCTCTTATCTTATTCCCTTCTCTTTCAGGGTATTATTGTAAGCTTTAAGAAGAGGTATTTTCTGAAGAGTGCTCTGTCAGGGTAATTTAAGTCCACGAAACTACCATACATCTTTCATTAACCATATAAAATAAACACTTAACAAGAACAATCCTTTTTCAGTGTTCAAAATACTTTTATGTACTTGTGATGGTTGGTGATGACTTTTGTGAAATGCACAATGGTCCACCAAGAAGTGAACAGACAACTCACAACTACAAGACTACCAAATAATCACCAGGTAGGTACCATTTCTGGCCACTACAACCACTGCCAATCTAGTGGAAAGGGGGTAGGTTTAGAAGATAAAATTTTTAAAAAAGAACAAGTTAAAAATCACTTAGAAAAGTTATATGTCTGCAAGTCATCAGGGCCTGATGAAATGCATCCTAGAATACTCAAGGAACTGATAGAGGAGGTATCTGAGCCTTTAGCTATCATCTTTGGAAAATCATGGAAGACAGGAAAGATTCCAGAAGACTGGAAAAGGGTGAATATAGTGCCCATCTATAAAAAGGGAAATAAGAACAACCCAGGAAACTACAGACCAGTCAGTTTAACTTCTGTGCCAGGAAAGATAATGGAGCAAGTAATTAAGAGACCTCCTAGAAGCCCCAGTGGAAACTGAGGCCAACAGTGCTTGGTGCTGCATATAAGTAGTAATTGACAGTCTCTGCCCCCAATACCTTACAATAAAAATAGACATGATAAAGGGTGGGAGAAAAGAAATGATACCACCCAATTGGCAGAGAGAGAGTGAAGGTGCAGAGAGAATAAGGCCAACATTTTCTGGAAGTGGGAGAGAGGAAATAGTGTAGCTTCAGGTTCCTAAATTATGATAAGTTTCTGATTTTCAAAGTGCTGAATATCCCCTGATTCCAATGGGAGCTGCTGGATACTCAGCACTTTGGAAAATTTGGCCACGGATTTAGGAACCTAACTATGAATTTTAAGTCATAAGTTTAGGCTCCTGTTTTTTACAAAATCTTCATGAGTGATCAGAGGAGCCAACAGGATCAGAGGAGCCTCCACTAGGCAGTGGGGGTGGAGGGGCAGGCTCTGCACTCCTGGAAGGGGCAGGGCCTTGGGTGGCAGCCAGTCCACAGCACCGTCCATGTACCACTCCCCACAACCGGCCCTCAGAGCCTTCCGGAAGACACGTCATGGGGCTCTGGTTCATGCTGCCCGATGCTCCAACAGTAATTCTAAAGGGTCCCACGCTCCAGCTGGTGCCACAGTAGCAACAGTGACTGTAGGGATCCCCAGAACCTTTAGAATCATTGGGCCCCAGGGTAATTTCCCCCTTTACCCTCCATCCCCCATCAGCAGCTCTGCAAGTGACTAACCCAAGATCATGCAGGTAGCCTATTACAAAGCTTGGAGCTGAATTCAGGTCTCCCAAGTTACAGTATCAGAGGTGTAGCCATGTTAGTATGAATCTGCAAAAGCGGCGAGGAGTCCTGTTGGACCTTACTTCAAAGAGAAACTGCTGAGCTACAGTTCATCTTCAAGTTTGACACAATCAACTCTGGATTAAACAAAGACTGTGAATGGCTCGCTAACTACAAAAGCAGCTTCTGCTCTCTTGGAATTCACACCTCCAGATCAGCTACTAGAAGTGGGCCTCATCCTCCTTGATTGGATCCACCTCGTCATCTCTTGCCTGATCCTGGCCTGCATATTTATACCTGCCTCTGGAAATTTCCACTACATGCATCTGACGAAGTGGGTCTTTGCCCACAAAAGCTTATGCTCCTACATTTCAGTTAGTCTATAAGGTGCCACAGGACTCCTCGCCGCTTTTAAAGGTCTAGAGAACATGACCTATGAAGGAAGACTGAAAGAATTGGGATTGTTTAGTTTGGAAAAGAGAAGATTGGGAGGGGACATGATAGCAGTTTTCAAGTATCTAAAAGAGTGTCACAAGGAGGAAGGAGAAAAATTGTTCTTCCTGGCCTCTGATAGAACAAGAAGCAATGGGCTTAAACTGCAGCAAGGGAGGTTTAGTTTGGACATTAGGAAAAAGTTCCTAACTGTCAGGGTAGTCAAACACTGGAATAAGTTGCCTAAGGAGGTTGTGGAATCTCCATCTCTGGAGATATTGAAGAGCAGGTTAGATAAATGTCTATCAGGGATGGTCTAGACAGTAGTGGGTTCTGCCATGAGGGCAGGGGACTGGAATTGATGACCTCTCGAGATCCCTTCCAGTCCTAGTATTCTATGATTCTCTCTTGCTCCTGCAGCTGGACCCAAAGTCTAAGCAATGTGAAGATGGGCAGGAGATAGGGGAATTGTTCCTCCCTCCCAGAGGTCTGTGTTTCAAATCACACACTAGCCTTCTATAATCAAAGGCCATGTCCTGCCACTCTTACTCACACTGCATGTAGACCTAATGTGAGCTGCAATTTACTGAATGCTGGTGGAACACTGCCTGGAGAGAGAAAGATTTTACATCGAATTATTTTGCTCTTCTTTAATGGGAACAAATTCCTTTACAGATGGTACAGCTGGCTTGAGTTACACAATTAAATTACAACTAACGTAACAGCTATAATTTTAACTACTCACCCTCCTGCAGCAGCAGCGTGGAGGCACGTTCTTCCAAAATTATCAGGGGTGTCTATTTCAAAGCCTGCAGACAGCACGTGCTCATTACTAAACAAGGACACTATGCTATACTTTTGTCCTAGTTAAACCACAAGAAACATTGCAGAGACAGAAAAAACAGTTAGTTAGGAAAACCAGAATGCAAGCAACTATAGTCAGCAAGAGGTTGTCATGGAAACGGACAGTGGCTGCTCAAGCTTGGTAGCTCTATAAAAAGAACTGCGAAGTCAAAAAGAATCTATTTCGACATTCAGCCTTGGGCTACATAACTATTCAATCATGTGACAGGCATTTATGAGGCAGATTCTTATCGAGAGAATTGTGACACTAGGCTATGCAGACAAAAACCACGATGAAATGGGGAGAGTCAGAGAGAGAGGCCTAGCATGCAGGCAGTCGATTGTTATTGGCATGCTTGTGTTTTCCAAATTGTTTTTAGATTCTGGAAAGATGCTTCCGGGAACATGCAACGGATATTTTTAAAGATGCACAAGGCTTTGGATATATAACCCATGGCAGATTCGTACAGAATTAATCCTGGGATGTCTAAGCAGCTTGCTTAGAATCATAGATCTGGAAGAGACCTCAGGTTGTCATCAAGTCCAGCCCCCCTCCCAAAGGCAGGACTAATCTGCACTGACTTATTAACCAGCAACAAAGCACATCAGGGGTTGCTGTAACTGGCTATGCAAATTACATTTTTCTTTCTATTTTTTTCCCTAAACATCGCCAGGGACTCAGCCTTATGGCTCAGAGTGGTGAGGGGAGGTTTCAATTGCTAAGGAATGGCAGTTTTCTGGAAGATGTATGAACTGCCTTCTCTCCATCTTGAACTCAGTGGAACTTCTGTCTGCATAAGGAGATCAGGAGATGGCACTTTATTACTACTCTCCATGGGTACCTTTTGTCAGGGGTGCGCAAAAGGGCCTCCACGGGCCAGATCCAGCTTGCCAAGCAGGTGGATCCGGCCTACAGAGGCCCTGCTCCTCCCCTGCCCCCAGGCCAATTAGGGCCGGGGCAGGGACAGGGGCAGGGGAGCATACGAAGCCTCTTCCTGCCTTGCCAGGAGCATGGGGCGCTTTGAAGTGCTGTGTGCTGTTCACAGGGTGGGGGCAGAGTGGAGAAGGCTTTATGCACTCCCCGCCCCCAGGCCCTATTTGGCTTAGGTGCAGGGGAGCGCGGGAAGTCTCCTCCCATGACAGGCGCATGGGCACTTAGGAGGAATGTAGGGGGAGGGGGGCGGCAAAGGCACTCCCTCACCCCCAGACCTTGATTGGACTGGGGGTGGGGAACCCAGAAGCATATTGGCCCCACCCCTTCCGCTTGATGCCCCGCCCCTTCTTGTGCGACCTGGGACCACTTCAAAAATTTCCAAAGTGGCCTTGGCAAAAAATTCATTTCCATCCTTAGTCTAGACAGTGAGGCTATTTATTTTGTATCCCAAAATAGCTACCCCGTGACTTTTGAACACTCCCGTTATTTCAAAATATTTTTCGAAACAACGGGTGTGCTATTTCAGCATCCCTGTAACCCTCGTTCCACAAGGCTTAAGGGATGTGTCAAAATAGCATGTTATTTTGAAATTTGGTGCTCTGTAGATGCGCCAGATTTCCAAATAAGCTATTTCAAAATACAATCAAAATAAGATACGCAATTTTTGTAGCATAAATTGCATCTCTTATTTCAAGTTTAGAGTGCTGTGTAGACGCACCCTTTGAAAGATGACTAACAGCAAACAGACACTGTCCCATTTTGAGAACCTGATTCAGGAAAGCATGTGTTTTGGTCCCATCCATTTGAACAGGATGTAACCATTTGCTCAATGTTGTCCTAAACCCAGGAGCTTTCTCCTGAACCATGTGTAAGCGGTATCTCACAAAATTCCTACAGCTTGGTAAAGGATTTTCCCTTTCCTCCCCTTCCCTATGAATTAAAATAAACTTTGTGACTTCCGGGGGGGGGGAAAAGCATTCAAAAGGCTTCAGGAATGAACAATACAGGATGCAATGTGAGTAATTATCAGCAAGCAGTTAGGAAAGCCACACAATCACATGAAGCAGCACAGGAAGTCTTTCATTTGGACAATTCACAACTCTAAATAACACAGGGGCCATAAGCAGCATGTTCATATTCATTAAACTCCACAGTTGCAGCTGGAGTCACTTACCTGATGACAACAACTTCCTGCAGCAGTCCGAGTGAGCGTTTAGTGCTGCTAAGTGCAAGGGGAACATGTTGTGGATACCACACCTGTTAGGCAAAACATTTTTATTAGTTACCAAAAGAATGGGCAGCAGTCAGGGTAGATGATGAAAATTCCCCTTTTAAAAACATTTTGTCATTGCTTGTGTAGGTGGCTCATTGTATTTGTACTTTCTATAACCTCTAAGGCTTGTTTGTTTTGTGAAAGCATAATGTTAGTATCTGATTTTGATTACAAATGGACAACAAGGCTAGGTACAGATTTGTAAAAACAAGATGAGAAGCAAAGAGAGAAGAAGCTAAGATAATGGATTTTATTTAGATTTCAACTGTGACCATTGGTTGTAGCACAAGTATTCTATCACGAGGTTCAAGTAAATACTGATAGAATCCTTATATTGTTTCTAAAACCCATCTTTCCTCTGCATCTCTATTGTTAACATGCCACTGTGTGTCTTAGTTAACTCTCACCTAGATTATTGCATCTTCTTCTCGTGGCTGGCTTCTTAGGCTGTGTCCAGACTCAGGGGTTTTTTCGAAAAAAGTAGCCTTTTTTCGAAAAAACTTCACCTGCATCTAGACTGCAGCCGCGTTCTTTCGAAATTAAATCGAAAGAACACGGCTTTTCTTTCGATGGCGGTAAACCTCATTGCACGAGGAAGAACGCCTTCTTTCGAAAGTTCCTCTTTCGAAAGAAGGCGTTCTTGAATGTAAATAGGGCTTCTTCGAAAGAGAGCATCCAGACTCACTGGGTGCTTTCTTTCGAAAAAGCAAGCAGCTTTTTCGAAAGTTCCGCGTGCAGTCTAGACGCTCTCTTTCGAAAGAGGCTCTTTCGAAAGTATCTTTCGAAAGAGCCTCTTTCGAAAGAGGCTTGCAGTCTAGACTTAGCCTTAGTGTCTCTTTTTTCACACTTCCTCTTATCCAAAACTGGTTAGGACATCTCCAAGTGCTTTGACCCCATCACCTGTTTCTTCACTCATGTCACACAATTTGCCCTTTTCATTTGCATCAGGTTTAATATTCTCATCCTCACCTTTCAGTTTCTGTATACCTCTCCTCCCCCACCCCATACATTTCTCCTTTTTCCCCCCACATTCAGCTAACTGCTCTCTTTGTCTCTTGCCTCTTCTCTCCTGTCAGATTGCATTTATAAGTGACTCCCAACTCCTGTGTGCCAAACATCCTAACTTCAACACACACACACACACACACACACACACACACACACACACACACACACACACACACACCCATTTCCCCAACCCTCCCTATATCCTCACTAGCAATGTCTCTATGCATTTTTCACTTAGACTGTAGGCTCCTCAGAGAAGACTCCTTGGCAAAACCCTAAAACATGAACCAAACATTAGGGTCCTAAATCTCAATCAGACATTTACTTGATTTTTCAAACATACTGAGCACTCAGTAGCTCCCACGGACATCAATGTGGAGTGCACTATACTTTTCAAAATTAGGTAGGTGGCTAAATATGGATTTAGAAGCCTAAGTTTAGGCTCCTGATTTTGAGACTCTCTGCTTGTTTTTTGGCATGTTTTTGCAATGTGTCATTCATACTTACATTACTTTACCAACACTACTACACAGACAGTAGTAGTCTTTAAGGCTACTACAAAGCGTCTCAAAATCAGAAGCCTAAACTTAGGCTTCTAAATCCACCTACCTAATTTTGAAAAGTACAGTGCACCCCACAATCATGTCCATGGCAGCTACTGAGTGCTCAGTATGTTTGAAAAATCAAGTAAATGTCTGACTGAGATTCAGGACCCAAACGTTAGGTTCATCTTTTGGGATTTTGCCATGGTGTCTTCATTGAGGACCCTTTGGTGCATATCACTGTAGAGCATCTGATATCAGTAACTGCATGGGATGAGAATCTACTGTTAGCTAAAAACAGTTAACTAAAGTCCTGGAAGATGCTAAATGGATTCATAGCCATAACTCAGTTTTTTTCAAGATAACCCAAGGATATAACATAACATGATCATGTCATTAGGCAAGATTTCAGATACGGCCTTGAAGGAACTTGTTTTCATGAAAAATTTATTGTCAGGAAAATTCTTAGAGGACAACTATGAAGCTTTAGCGAAAGTTATTTCATACAAAGATACACTCTTCAAAATCCAGCACTAACAAGAAAGCTAAAATTTACAAAAGTTGGCAACTGAGTCAAAACTGCAAAATATGTAACCCAGGTGGGAGTCTGTGCAAATTTAACTCACACACTCTCACTTTCTCTCTCACTTTTTCGCTCTCTCACACACAGACACTCTGCATTCTGTATTATGCACACAAGGACAAACACAATTTTTGAAAAAATATATGATTTCTTGCAACATCTGTGTTCCCATTCCACTTTCCTTTCTCATTGCATTTGTTAACCTTCCTACCTGACAACATCAGAAGTGAGCTACAATACTATATACATTTAATTTAATCAATGCCCTGCCAGCATCTAACTCTCTCACAGAGTAAACCTACCCAAGGATGCTCAGACACTCTGTTCTTTGAAAGGAAATGGCACAAGCTCCACCAAGCTGTTCAAGTCTATCTAAAAAGGTGCATTTCTAAGCTGTGACTGTATTTATTTAACCTGGTATCACAAAGAGGATTTGTAATGTACAGTCATATTCAGTATTCCCCATCCATTTCTGATTTTTACATCAATTTCCCCCTCCAGCCTAGTTATTTCAAGCCACATTTCCCCAGTGCATATTTTGGCTGGTGTCCATCAAGAGATGCAATTTGCACATGTGCTAGTCAGTGCCAGACTGTATAGAGCTGCTTACAACTGCTCCCTCCATTATTTATCTTCCATACCCCTGAAATGCAAATGCATCAAATGACTGACCTTGTTGTCTGCAGTTTCTGCTAGCAGCACTGTAGAAATCCTTCCTTTTCTGTGCCAGTTCAGGGAATTAAGCCAAAATTATTTACATAAAACAAATATTAAAAGCTCATTCCCTTTGGAAGTACTGGGTACATAATTTCTTTTTCAGAACAATGCCATCATTTGGACTACTACTACAACTAAGCGGACTTCTCACTTTAAATACATCTGCTGTTGGCAAAGGTATTTTATTTGATCAATGTACAAGTCATCCAAGTGCGAAATAGAAATTTTGAGCAGACAATCTAGATTGCAAGAGCCACTTATCTCACTGCTATTCATTGTTACCTTAAACTTCAGGAAACCGATGGACTCAAACATTATATATTGGAAAGGCATAGCAAAAATCATATTTAGTCAAAAAGGACCAGATTCTCAAGCTGGTATAAACCTGACCCTTTCTTTTTTGACTGGTGAGAAGCAGTTTTAACAAAGAAGATAGCAAAATACGGGGAAAAAATACTCACTTCAAACTCTCCAAATGAAAAGCTTAATGCCAACATGACTACATTCCAAATACCATCTCTTTTCCTTTTCAGTGTTCAATTTAATCCTCTCCCATTTTGGAAATCGAGTGCTCTGTTACCTCACTAACTCTAGGCCAAAGTCTAAGGAGGTACTGAATGCCCACTGAAATCAATGACCCTCCCAGGATTGGGCTCGTAATATGTATATATACACATGTACTGGTAATCATGAGCATAGTCAAATGCAATCTCTCTATCACACTCACACACAAACACAGAGGAAAAATCAGCCTAGCCAAATCAACACCTCGGAGCACAAAGAGCTGAACAACACATCAAAACTCATATCTCAGCTTTTCTCAAGAAAACCCCAAAACAAAAATCAGCCTCATCATTTCAGCCAGTTGACGCTCTAAAACCATAAGATACTAAGACTGTGCACCAAAGCTGCATTAGAGTATGAAATAAACCTTGAGTTGTCCTTGTCCATTTCTACTGATACTTATCCAGCCCCAATAGATACTAGATAAAGGAAGAAATCAATTTAAGTACTACATGTTATGAACATGAATGTATTCTAGACACTAAGGCTGTGTCCAGACTCAGGGGTTTTTTCGGGAAAAGTAGCCTTTTTCCGAAAAAACTTCACCTACGTCTAGACTGCAGCCGCGTTCTTTCGAAATTAAATCGAAAGAACGCGGCTTTTCTTTCGACGGCGGTAAACCTCATTTCACGAGGAAGAACGCCTTCTTTCGAAAGTGCTTCTTTCGAAAGAAGGCGTTCTTGAATGTAAATAGGGCTTCTTCGAAAGAGAGCATCCAGACTCACTGGGTGCTTTCTTTCGAAAAAGCAGCTTGCTCTTTCGAAAGTTCCGCGTGCAGTCTAGATGCTCTCTTTCGAAAGAGGCTCTTTCCGCGTGCAGTCTAGATGCTCTCTTTTGAAAGAGGCTTGCAGTCTAGACATAGCCTAAGGGAATTACACACCCTTCATTAACAGCTTAATATTTTAAACTGAATCCAAATTCCTTCATCTTTTAAGCTACTTACTAATACAAACTATTTGTTAATGAATTCATAATTATGCACTTGCATTTTAAAATGAATACACTGTAACTCGAAAATAAACATTATCTAGCAATAACCGTAACATTTGACCATTAGGAACAGCATTTCTTAAGCAACCTACTTGGCAGCATCAGCTCCACTGGTTATTAGGGTGTTAATCAAAAGCTCATGTCCGTATCTCGCAGCCACATGCAGAGGGGTATTGCCATCCTGATCAACACAGTCAATTTCACCTCCTGGAAAAGACATTTTCACACAGTGTAACACACAAGGATTTAATGTTAGTCAGTGACCAGAAACTGGAAAGAAATTTATTCCTTTCCAATGAAGTCAATTTATCATAGTTACAGTCTAGTGTGTATAGTAGCAGCAGAAACACGGAATTTCTTGGATAGGGCATCTATACACAGCAAGCCATTTGTTGCGCCAGTCATGCACAATGGCCACAATTCTGGCTGAATTTTTTTTTTCTTCTTCCTTATTTCCATCTCTCTGCATATTTCACACTAGTCTCTCCCCCAATGGCCTACGATGCAGTGCCCTAAATTAAATTAACAAAATTAATTGTTGAAATTTGCCACAATTCTGTGAGTCACTGGTGTTGAATCTTGTCCACAAACCAATGATAGAAGACAGAGCTCTTCCAGCTCACTTGCATGGCTGCTTACTGAACCTCACCAAATCTGTCAAATGGTACTGCCCAGGAGCTGTCGCCCACCTTACTGCTCTCTCAGGGTTTTTACAAAGAGAAAACCCGAAGCTCCTTCCTGTCTTTGGCATATGCTTCTTCAGGTGTAGGTGCAGCAGAACACTCAGGAAGAGAGAACTGAATGAAAGTAACCTCAAGTACAGCAGTGAGAGCTGCAGGCTAGAACAGAAGGATTATACACAAAAGGCTACATCTACACTGCCTCTTTTTTGCGGAAAAGGCAATGCAAATGAAGTGCTCGTTAGCAACTTCTTGCACTTCATTTGCATAATCTCTTCCGACCCTTTAGCAGAGTAGACAGATTTGTTTTGTGCAAAAAAATTCTTTTGTGCAAGATCCTTATGCCTTAAAAGAGGAGGTATACAGATCTCACACAAAAGGGTTTTTTGGTTTTTTTTCCTCGCAAAATGGACCCGTCTACATTGCTCGTTTTTGTGCAAAAACCTCTTATGCTAAAAGCCTCGGGCAGAGATTATGCAAATGAAGCACGAAAAGTTGCTAATGAGAGCTTTATTAGCATACTCTCTGCCGGCAAAAGAGACAGTATAGACGTAGCCAAAGAGAGAAAATAATGAGCAATGCCACAAAACAGAGGTGGGGGAGAGAGTGTTTTTAACCAAACACCCCAACCTGTGACCCTAAAGCAGGCTTATTTTCTGCTTGTCTCTATAACCCTTTGATAACATGACTATTTCATGTAACCAACCACTGTACTTGAGGCAGCCAGAAGAGGAGATAACCCTCCAAGAAATTATTCAAAGACATGATGCTCAGTATTAAGAAGTCTAAACCCTGCCACATTCGATGATCTTCTAGTAAGATATAAAAAGGTGACAGGTAACTGCCAGAATGGATTTGTAAAGAACATGTCATGTCAAACCAATACGATAGCTTTCTTTTATAGGATAACAAGTCTTGTGGCTAAGGGGGAAACGATAGAGGTATACACTTTAGTAAGGCATTTAATAGGGTTTCATGTGACCTTGTCATCAATAAACCAGGGAAATACGACCCAGATGGGGCTAATCTAAGGTGGGTGCATAACTGGCTGGATAACGGTTCTCAGAGAATAGTTATTAACGGTTCTCAATCATGCTGGAAGGCATAACGAGTGGGGTTCCACAGGGGTCTGTTTTGGGACTCGTTCTGTTCAATATCTTCATGAACAGGGCTTGACAATTAAGGTAATCTACTCGCCACGGGCGAGTAGATTTATAGCCTGGCCTGGCGCCGCACAGCGATCAGCGCATGCGCAGCGCGGTCTGTGCATGTGCAGCATGCCAAACCGCACGGCTGGCGAGTGGGGCTCGCCGCCGCTTGGTGAGCCCTACCAATCAACATGCATTTATGGAAAATAGATCCTGTATCACCTCAGACCATTTCTCTAGTTTAACAGGATGAAGTTTAATAAGAACAAATACAAAGTACTCCACTTAGGAAGAAACAATCCATTTCACACATACAGAATGGGAAGTGATTGTCTAGAAAGGAGTACTGCAGAAAGGGATCTAGGGGTTATAGTGGACCACAAGTTAAACATGAGTCAACAGTGTGACACTGTTGCAAAAAATGCAAACATGATTCTGGGAAGCATTAACAGGAATGTTGTGAGCAAGACACAAAAAGACATTCTTCCGCTCTACTCTGCGCTAATTAGGCCTCAATTGGAGTATTCCGTCGAGTTCTAGGTACCACATTTCAAGAAAGACGTGGAGAAATTGGAGAAGGTCCAGAGAAAAGCAACAAAAATGATTAAAGGTCTACAGAACATGGCCTATGAGAGAAGACTGAAAGAACTGGGCTTGTTTAGTTTAGAAAAGAGAAGACTAAGAGGGGACATGATCGTGGTTTTTCAAGTATCTAAAAGGGTGTCACAAGGAGGAGGGAGAAAAATTGTTCTCCTTGGCTTCTGAGGCTAGGACAAGAAGCAATGGGCTCAAATTGCAGCAAGGGAGGTTTAAGCTGGGTATCAGGAACAACTTCCCGTCAAGGTGGTTAAATCCTGGAACAAATTGTGGGGAGGGGGGGAGGAGAGGGAAGTGTTGTGGAATCTCCATCACTGGAGATATTTAAGAGCAGGTTAGACAGACACCTTTCAGGGATGATCTAGACATAGACAGTGCTTGGTCCTGCCATAAGGACAGGGGACTGGACTCGATGACATCTCGAGGTTCCTTCCAGTTCTATGATTATATTTCTGTGGGCATTTGGTGTGTAAACGTACAATTTTGAAATAAGCTATTTCAAGTATTTCTTCCAGAATAGCTTATTCCAAAATAAGTGTTCAGTATAGACGTAGCCTAACTGTCAGGGTGATGAAACCCTGGAATAAATTGTCTAGGGAGGTTGAGGAATTTCTATTATTGGAGACACTAAAGAGCAGGTTAGATAAGCATCTATCAAGGATGCTCTAGATGGTACGTGGTCCTGCCATGAGGGCAGGGAACTGGACTTGACCTCTTGATGTCCCTTCCAGTTCTAGTGTTCTATGCTTCTATGATTGTAAGTAAGATGCATGCAACATTATCTCCTGGAAATGGAAACAAACTTGTTTCTCTTATTGATTGGCTGAAAACAAAGTAGAACTAAGTGGACTTATGAGTGTTAAAGTTTTACATTATTTTGGTTTTGAGTGCAATTATGCAATAAAACAAATCTACATTTGTAAGCTGAATTTTCATGATAAAGAGTTTGCACTTCAGTACTTGTAGGAGGAGGACTGAGAAATACTATTATTTCATTTATTATTTTTACAGTGCAAATATTTGTAATAAATATAAAATTAGTACTGTACATTTTGTATTCTGTGTTGTAATTGAAATCAATATATTTGAAATTGTAAAAGAACATCAACATATTTAATAAATTTCCATTGGTATTCTATTGTTTAACAGTGTGATTAAAACTGTGATTAATTTTTAATCACAATTAATTTTTTGAGTTAATCATGTGGGTACACACATGGTTTGCTTTAGCCAAGGTTACCAAGCAATCCAGATTGCTCTGTATCTGTGACCTGTCCCCTCTTCATTCTTTATACCACGCTCCCAATTTTTGAGTCATCAACAAAATTTTATCGGTGATGAATTATGTTTTCTTCCAGATCACTTATAAAAATGTTAAATAGTGAAGTGACAAGAATCAAACCTTGCAGGAGCCACAATAGAAACACATCTTTTCATGAGGATTCTCCATTTACAATTACACTTTGAAACTATCAGTTAGCCAGCTTTTAAACCATTTAATGTTATACTATGTTAAGAAATTAGAATAACATAAAGTTAAGTCAAAATGCCATGCAGTCCCTGTCAAACTCCCAACAGAAGTCTAAGTATATTACAACAACACTTATTTTTATCATCCAAATTCTATTTTCAATAAATCTATGTCGATGGGCTTTAATTACAGGCAGTCCCTGAGTTACGCGGATCCGACTTATGTAGGATCCGCACTTACGAACAGGGCTTTTCTCACCCCGGAACTCGTGGGCGGCGGGACCACCCAGACGCGCAGTGGTCCCGCCACCGCGTCCTCCGGGGTGAGAAAAGCTGCTCCGGGTGCCCCTGGTCTGCTGGGGGGGGGGCGCAGCTAGTGCGCCCCCCTCCCCAGCAGACCAGGCTTTTGTTGTGGATGCCTGGGGTAGAGCAGCTGGGGTGCTGCCGGGTTGGTCCTGGGGGGACCTACCCGGCAGCGC